TCTATGTAGCTCCAACAAGAATCATCCCCCCACCTCATGTATACTCTCCACCATGATTTTAAGGGACAACATGGCTTTGAATAGCCCCACATCTCTCCTGATCACTACTCTCCTCCCCTCCACTACCAACTCCATGGTCAATGCCCCCCAGTTAACCTTGGTATTCCCCAAGGTCCGCAGCCACTTCATCCCTACGATAACATCAATGTTTCCTAACTCAAATGGGAGAAAATCCTCCCTCACCTTAATTCCCTTTATGGTCAACACTACTCCCCTACAGATGCCCTTTCCCGTCTCCACCTTCCTCGAGCCCATCATCACTCCATAGCTCGTTGTATCCACCAAAGTCACCACCAATTGGTCCACGACCTAGTTGGAAATGAAATTGTGGGTAGCCCAACTGTTGATCAACACTACCACCTCTCGGTCTGCTATTTTCCCCTTCACCATCATGGTATGGCTTAGAGTAAATCCTACCACTGAGTTCAGAAAGACCTCTGCCACATCCAGATGCAGCTTGTCTTCCTCCTCTACCCGGTTTCACACCCACCTCCTTAGCTTCCTCGTCATCACAGACTGTGAGAACCTGAAGAGTTCAGTCTTTGCACCTATGCCCTGGAGTATAATTCTCATCATATTGGAAGAATAATCCATTTGACCTCTTCTCTTACACCTCCGTCTCAGCTAGCTTATTTAAATTTCCCCCACTTCCTTCTCCTACAGGCTTCTCCCTTGGAATCTCACGAATGTTGCTAGGTGTAGGCCCCTTGATAAATTTTTGTATGAAGATTAGTTTTGCAGATAATTAAGGTACATGGAGCATATTTTGTAGAGTGAGGGAGATAAGAGTGTCTCCTTGGCATACTATTGTGGTAAGAAAACTATTAGCAGTAGTGATTTCATTATCACATGGGCAAGGAGTATAGTTGATGAAGTGGATAATGGAGTGTCATGTGATCTGTGATGTCTGAGTCAATAATCCATAAACCTTTCAAATGATTTCTAGAGGCACTTAATCCAATGGATATAGGAAACTCACCAGAATGTGCAAGAGGAGATTCATGTGATTTTTCAAGGGATACTAAGAGTTCTTTTAGCTTATCATTATGGGGTGGACTAACTTGTTATAGAGTTAGCTTGTGATGTGCCTTTTTGTCCACTCTTTTGATTCTACTCCTTACACAGGAGGGGGGTTTATTTATCTTCCAGCATGTCTCCTTTATGTGTCTTGATTTCTTGTAATAGCTGCACCAAAGGGAGTCTTTGTCTTTAGGCTTTGAGGAGTCCTTACCTCTTTCTTTCCATGGCTCCTCTTTGGTTGCCACTATTATTGAACCTTCAACAACCTTTGCTTCCAGCATTATTGTCACAACCCAACCCGACCAGCACAGGTCTTGTCGTGTTGAATTGTGACAGAAAAATCACAATATCTATTTTTGAAATTATTTCAGATTTTTTACTAATAATATTCATTAACATAAACTACAGACTACATAGCTCCTAAATCATTCAAATATTAAAAATAAACTCATCTATCATATTTCTTTCATTTAATCAAAACAAATATCTACAATACAGTACATGGCTACAGGCAAGAGTTATATAATTGAAAATTTAACTAGTCATGATTGTACTAAAATCAAACTAGCAAAAATATATGTGAACTCAGATAGTATACTGAACTACTGGTTCACAATCTTCTTCTCCTTCCCAGATCCTGAAAATCGTAGTGAACTACAACAGTTCAGCAAGCCGCACCAACCAATCTAAATTTTTAAATATTATTTTATCAAATATTTTGTTAAATATTTAAAAGCAATTAAATGCGGATTAAATAAATCACTATATTAAGAGAAGTAATAAATACATAAAAATTATTCCCTGATTAAAATAACAATATTGAACAATTAAATTAATTGAAATTCATATCACATGGCAGTTCATATCACATTTTCCAGACCAAGATAAAACCTCAAAGGACTATGGCCCCTTAAGACTCCCTTTTTGTGTATGCTTATACACCATAACATATCAAATATCCCTATCTCAGACAGAATCTAAAAAGATTCTAGCCCCATATAACTCCAAGCAATTCCCTGTCACAAACAAAATCTTCAGAGATTCTGGCCCCTTATGACTCCCAACAATTATAATTTAATCACATATGCACATATATCATCACATTATGGTAATTAAAGAGCAATTAAGCATGTATAAATTTTCACAGTTTTGTATAACGATAGACAACAGAAAATCCTACTAGGCAAAAATACACATTTTTAGTAAATTACTAAATTATAAGAGATTATTTAAAACGACATTTTAAGACTTATATTATACTATAATACTATTTTTCAACATCTATATAATTTTTTATTTAATAAAAATCTCACAAATTTCAAAGCACCGTTGTAAAATTTTCAAAAAAAATTCAAAATGTGCATAATTGTAATCTCTATCACATATAAAAAGTTATGCGGAGAAAGTTAAACTTATGCAAAGTTATTAGCATTTTTCGCTAATGGATATAAAATTTTAATTGAAAAACTCACTAAAAATTGTGCATTTTTTAAAATTAAGATAGACATAAAGTGACTTACTTTGAGACGAACAAGTTTACCGACTGGGCTGACGGACGAAAACCGCTCGAAGTCACCCAAAATCAAATTTTGAATTTCTGTAACCTCACTTTCTACCTTAATTTCCTTAATACGTTTTCTCAATTTGGGGAAAAAATGAAAAAACAAAGCTCTATCATAATATATGATATTGGATTAGGATTTTATAATAAAAATATTAATTTTTCCTAATTATTTAATATTGAAATATTAATCTTATCTAAATTCCTTTATATCTTTAAATTCAAAAATTATAAAAAAATATTCATAAATTAACTCATTTTATTAAGAAAATTTTAATGAAATCAGTTTGCAAAACGGACACCTGACGGTCTCAAAAATCCCACATGTACCGAAAGGTGCCAATTTCTTAAAAAACTTTCAACAATGTCCAAAAATAATGAAAAAATTATGGTAATTAAAGCACAACACTATAAATGTTCTGATAAGACGATTTGTAATTTGGAGCTATAATGAAACCTAAAATAATTATTGATTGCACTAAGTCAACAAAAAAATCTTAAAAATTTTAAGATTTTCACAATTACCTCTTATCGGTTTTCCTCAGCACGAATGAGAGAAATTGTCTCATTTAATGAAGGTGTCTCTTGGCCAAGGATCCAGACACACATATGATCGAACTCTGTATTTAATCCTGCAAGAAAGTCATATACTCTATCTTTTTCAATAAACGTTTTTAGGACGACAGCATCTTCTGGGAACTTAATCGCTATGCAACTATAGTGATCAAGTTCTTGCCACAAGCTTTGAAGGAGAGTGGCATATTCTGTCATAGTCTTGCTTCCTTATTTTATGCTTCCCACTTCACCTTAATTTTAAAGATTTGAGCAGCATCCTAAACTTTTGAGAAGGTTTGCCTGGAGCCATCTCATATGTCCCTTGCAATAGATAAAAAAGTAAAAGTAACACTAATTTTTTGAGTCATGAAATTCAACAACTATGACATAATCATGGAGTCCGCTTCATCCATACCAAAAAATTAGGATCTCCTTCTTTGGGTCCTCCAAGGAGGTGATGTATATTTCCTTTCCCTTTTAAGTAGGTCTTCATTAATTGAGACCACTTCAAGTAATTTTTCCAATTTAGGTAATAAGAAGGTTGCATATTTTGGAGATTCTTCTTTGGAGCATAGAGCCTTCCATAGAGCTTTCGAAGGAAATTAGCTTTAGGCATTTTTGGTGGCAAAGGATAATGATGAATGTTAAATTAATCAAGCCAACAAAGAGCAGGATAGCAACGAAGGTTGTGTTGGTTAAAAAGTAGTAACAACAAGATAAGATCGGCAATGAAGGCCGCTTGCTCCTCTCCGCTTCCTTCTCTTTAGTCTCTGAACGACAACGACAATGACAATGAAAGCTAGTGGTGGAACTCACATATTATCTCTCTTTAGGCTCTGACACCATGTTAAATTTAGAGAACTTAAGAGGGAAAAGGCTTTATTTTATTGCTCAAACTTGTCCCTATTTATAGATCTATACAAGATATCTTAATAAAGAAACAAATAATTATATAATCATACATAATTGCTCTAATATAATCCTTCCTATATCAACCACCTAAATATGGAAGGAGATCAGCGCAATCCAGGTAAGCCTCCCACGGATCTTCATCCTAGCCGTGGTATCAAAATGCCAAGGGACGGCTGAGATTTAACAATTTATATAATATTTTTTTAGTTCATTCCAACACTTGTCTACATGACATCTTGTATCAAATAATTTATGGAATATGAAAGAATTCTTTTCCTCCCTTCTATTCTGTGCAGGTATGAAAAACCAAAGCTTTCAAAACATACTTCAAGTATAGACCAATGAAAATTATGTCATCCTCTAGCTGTGCTGAGCTATATTTCTGGCACAGAACAAGGAAGCCAAGACTGAATATCTACACCCGCGTCAAAAGGTTGTGCAAGTAAAAAAGCTCTAATATAAAGGATACCAAGCATATCATGAATCCATAGCATTCATAAGTTATATATTAATGATTCAAATAGCCGGTCAACATATGGAGTACAGGTCAAAGATCATCAAAGCAGGAGTGCTTAGGCAAATTTCAAATACAATATGAGCATCAACATTTCTATAGATAACACGGATGATATCTACTTCATTGTGTTTGATAATAAAGTTGTTATAATAAATAGGAACAGCCAATGCTAAAAAAATGTCAAACATAAATTATGCAAATTTCCAACCAAGGGTCGTGTAGAATCGATGTTCAAACAATACAAAAAAAAAGGCAAGAAAAATGAATTTTTTTTCCTCCACACTTCAAGTTGTTGCAAAATGGATGCGGGAGAGGAAATTTTCTTTTATTTCAATGCAAAGCATGATATCAACCAACAATGCAATCTAAACTTACAAAGATGGGAGACCGAAACTGTTTGAAGGGAGCAAAACTTTCAACAAGCTGGGTATCCCCTCAGTTTGAATAACTCCTATTAAGCAGGCAAATAGTTAAGTGTAAACATTAGGAAAATTTACAAAATGAATTGCTAACAAAGAAAAACCAAAGAATGAAAAACAGGCCTGACCAACTTGGGTAGCTGTTCCAAGATACAAGGGTTTTGGCCTCTTCTCAGAACGAAATGTGACATTCCGAAATGAAGCATCTTCATCAAGACCATATATTTCTCTTACCTAATGTTTAAAAGGTTCAGTAATATAAGCCTATATTTCAATGATGGTTTAATTACGACAGCTTTCTAAGCGGCAAAAAGCATAAAAATTCAGCCAACTGGTAATTGGACTACGTATGATTAATAACTCTATGGAAAGTGAAGCAAGTCCAAAGCTAAAAGCATAGTTGCCTCAGTAGCAGGTGTTGTTTGTGATTATGGATCAGGTTGATAAGACTTCCATCCTTCACCATTCTAAAGAAAAGACTTCGATCAAATATTTTGGGCTTGACAGCTAAAATTGGCCAAACACAATGATTGAATCCAAGGAAATCACTTCGTTGCATGCAACGTCTCAATTAACTTAACATTTCTGCTCAGCCCTACTATGGGAAAACTAGTACTCTTAATCATATCCAATCAAAGTACTTTATCCTATCGCATTGAAGAGGTCGCCAGTTTTTTTTAGTGCGTCAACGATCATAGAAGAATTATAAAATCTAAAGAAGCAGAGCCTGGGTAGAAGAGCAGTAGCTATCTGAAGCCTATTCATGAGTCTAAAGAATTCAAGATTGATTCTAAAGTGAAGAACGCAAGTCATTGAAACGCAATTGATACATCAACGTGCAAATAGCTTATGTTAAAGTGCTTATAAATAAGAAAAAAAATCAAGGATGTGAACATACGGGTAAATGAGACTAAATATATGAATGTTCTTTGTTATCTATGCCTCACGACGGTTTAATAAAATCAAATTATATATATATATATATATATATATATATATATATATATATATATCTTTCGCTCACACCTACCCTCTCTCTACCTCCAACCGTAGTGTACGTATTTTTGGGGAAATGAATATGGATATATATATATATATATATAGTTCATTCACCCATATCCCCTCACTCCTTGCATCCCAGGCACCAACCTAAATATTCAAACGCATTGCACCCCAAAGCTCAAATCAATTTTTAGTGATCCAGAACCCCCCAGAACATGCTAGAAAACAAAAACTAAAAGAGACCAAATAACCCCATTTTGGCGCAATGGATTTCAATTGATAAAAAAAATTTAAAAAAAAATAAATAAATAAGTTAAGCGATCTGTGTTGGGTTTGTTTGCAACCCTAAGAAAAAAAAAACTTTGTATTCTTTTTTCTTTTCAAGGATATAAAGAAATTTTTGGGATTTTTAAAAACACTACTTCAAAAACCTAATTGAACTAAACCTTCCAAATCATTTTGATCTTCCAACATGATCATTCAACTGCTTTCATTATTGGTGTGATGAGGACATCAGGACATATAAAGTTTATCAAAGGCGTGGCCGTAGATCTACGGCCTCGACTGCACCGCTCTACTTTTGATTTTCATATTTATATTGATGTATTAGTTTTATTTATGAATTTTTATTATGCTTTTCCATATTTGCCCTTACTTAAAGGTTTAGGTATGTGTAAGCCCTAGGGGCATAGTAGTACTTTATATTTTCTCATTGTATGGGTTATTTAAAGCCTCCCTCTTCTTCTTTGAGGGTTAATGGATGATAATAAAAAAAATTTCCTACAACTCTTTGTTTTGAGAGCTTGAGAGCGTGAGAGCTTTGGAGAGAACCCCTTGGAGAGGGAACCGAATCACCCACCAACCTTGGAAGCGTCTGGGTTTGTGGCTTTTATTTTCTTTCTTCCTTTTCATTTGTTTCTCCCTTCCCCTTCCTCCTAGCCGCCGGCCTAGGACCCTAACTCCCCTAGCCTCTGGTTCTCCCTAGCCAAACCCCCACCTTGACGCCAGCCAACTCCACCCCACCAACCCACCTCCCCTCCACATCCAACCGGCCTACCCTCTCCTACCACCAAGCCATCCAACCCACAAACCCTAACCCTAATCCTAGTTTATCCGCCGGCCATCCCATCTCCCTCTCGCCTCCAAAATTCAAATCCCTCCATTATTTCTTTCCTTTTCCATACAAATCATTTTGGGAAAGCTTTCAATCCAATCAACCAATCATTATTTGAAATTCGAATTGTTTCCTAAAATAAAGTTCTATTTTAGAAAACTTTTCCAATTAAATCCAAATCAAATTTGAATTGGATTGGAATTAATTTTTCGCTCCTTCATTGGAATCATGGTTTAAAATTGCACAATATGAGGCTCGCCTTGAGGCCC